ACACAGTGTTTTTGACCCTGCATTTCGAAGTCTTTTTAGCATTTTGTCTTGCTAAAGTTATTAAACATGGGAGTCTGCCAGGATTGATGGCCTTCTGCAGGCACCCCAAAGTGGGCATTAGAATAATTGCCTAGGAGGTGGATTATAGATTAATTATTATACAATTATTATAGAGAAAACAGTCATAGGACTGTGGGACTGATAGGTCAGCATTACAGAAAAATGTCCTACTGAGTAAATAATGATGGAAAACCAAAACCTAAATAAATAATATATAAATAAAATAAGAAGGTCTTTGTTAGAATTACCAAAAACAGGGGTGCCTATAATAGCATTTCACTGCTGAACTTGTGTCTAAGCTGTAGACACTACACACTACTACACTTCACAGCTCTTATGTGTCATGTTAGTCTTTATTGATGTGCAGATGGGCACATTAGGGAGTCTCGAGGGACTGCTGGTACAGAGATGACATGGTTCACATTATTGTTTCCACCTTGTATTCACTGACTTCAAAAGTCAGGATTTGCTACAATTAGCTAAATTTATGTATTTTAAGCAAACAGATTAAGCAAATGCTCCAGTTAATCCCTTGTGATCCTGATGACACTGCATCTAGTGAGATGCTGCTCTTTTATCTATAGGTGTGTTAATTTTATTGGTTTCGGTGTATTTTAATGCCGTGATGTAGTAAGCTAGTTCTCTTAATTACTGAATGTGCATTTCCTGCTGTTTTATACAGTCTGATCATATATTACCATAGATGAAATTCTCTATCAAATATAACAATGGATTGATTTACACACTGGAGCCTCACAGTATCAGTATTCTTGTAATGTAAACACTCCCTCAGGCTTTCTTTCCCCCCACTGCTCTGCAGCCACTCTAATGACCAAACCCAGCAGAGGGAGGGTTCTGCTCAGCTAACAGTAACCCTCCCATCACAAAACAGGCAGAAAAAATGGCTCCCCTAATACTCTTCCTCTCCTTAATCTCTCTGTTCTTGTCTTAGACAAGGAGATGAAAGACGACAACAGAGAAGTTGGACACCAGTCACAGAGAGAGAGAGAAATAGATGTACAAGCCTGCATGGAGTATGGTGAGATAAAGAACAGGTAGAAACACGATAGTGTGTATGGATATGAGAGAGGGACAAAGGCAGAAAGAGAAAGCAAAGGAGGCCCTGCATCATCTTCATCTGTTGGGATGATCTTCTTAACCCCAGTCTTCACCTGTCAGTCCCTCTGGATCTCTATATGGGGCTAAAAGGGAGTTTAGCAAAAGCTGAAACTGCAAATACAGTGAGCTCTCACTTCCCCTCAAAGGGGCTCGGCTCTCTGAGAGAGTTTAACAGTATGATTTACATTCAACTGATGACTTCTGACCATGAAACCTCTTACAAACTAAAACTGCAGCAAATGTTTTTCTTCACTGAGGCAAGGTGCATATAAAATGTCTCACAACAGAAAAGGGAATGATTGAAAAAGTTATCAGATCTTATGAGAAAACCCAAATCTGACCCTGAATTGGATAAGTGAACGGAAACGGATGGGTAGGGGTGCAGCATGATGGCACAGTGGTTAGCGCTGTTGCGTCATAGCAAGAAGGGTTTAAATCTGCCGGCTGGGGTCGTACAGCTGGCCTTTATATGTAGAGCTTGTGTGAGTTCACTCTGTGTACTCTGGCTTCGGTCCAAAGACATGCAATGGGTTCAGTTAACTGCCAGTTCTAAACTGGCTGTAGATATAAATGTGAGAGTGAATCTCTCCCTGTGTTAGCCCTGTCCAGGGTGTGCCCCGCCCTTCACCCCATAGCAGCTGGAACAGGCTCCAGCAACCTCCCACGACCCTGAATTGGAAAAAGCGGAAGAAAATGTGTGGATGAATTGAATTGTTATAACATGACATATATGATCTGATGGCAGTTCCACTTCATACATGCAAAACATTCTGATTAAAATCTGAAAATAATGTGTTAGTCTTCTTTTTAGTGCTCTTACTGGGATTTTATGGGGATGTTGCCCTCATAAGGAAAAACAAAAAACTGTATTGATTGTTCATTTAGAAACATGAGCAAACATGAATGCTAGTTTTGCTTAATTCATTAATTTATATGCTAGATGAATAACTTAAGAAAAATAACTCAATCTGACCACAGTGCTTTTGTTTTTTGGAAGTCCTTACAGTTACTTGGCCCACTAAGAGAAAGGCCCTGAGTCACATGACCTATTCGAAAACCCTAGGGAAATGATCAATTCTGTGCCTACAAGAGAGTAGAAGAAGTATGAGCGGTTGACTTTAACGCTTCAAAAATGTCATTATGAGGAAAGGTATCGAGGAAAGAAGAAATTGTACAGAAGACTTAGTGAGTATCGGTGACAAAGTCGAAAATGCTCATTAATTCTTTTTGCTGTAGTCACACGCAGTGATTGCTAAGTATGCCATAGGCCACCATTGCTGAACGGTCTGTCGAACTGAGACGAGTTAATCAGTAAAACAAGAGAAGAAGAGAAGGTAAGAACACAGCCACCCTCCTCCCTGCTCGCCTGTATGGTGTTGCTAAGTCTCCATGAGGACTCTATCAGTGCTACCCAGCAATTAAGATCTCACAGATCAAAGCAGTCTAAATGAGCTAATCCTCAGAGAACCGCTGCTCTCTGTCTGTCTCTCTCTCCGTGTCTCCCTCACCCCAGTTACTTCCTCTTGACTCATGGGCTCCATGTGCTGACTGCGCTTTGATGCTTGACAGCGGTGGGTCTTCTAAATGTAAAATGGTGAATAAATGTGTATTAATGGGTAACGCTTTCATATCCTTAATGTCAATTTGCACAGGCTGGGGAGCATGTTTTCAAAGCTCTTAAGACATAATTGACGATCGCAAATCTGTAGCCGCTGTATCTGATGTCCACATGCAGTGCACAAAACCTCTGAGGACCGCATCGGCAGGAAGAGATTTAATACAACGTTTGATAACAGGCAGTATTATAATGTCCAGGCCTGCATTAAAACGAATGATGCAACAAGCCCCTTCTGAGTGTGGCGAGTTGGAAGCAGCAGTGGCGTGAAAGCGAGTGACAGCTTTGAGGTCAATAGTTGTTCACAGGAGCGTGACGCTGGTAGCTGCTTAGCAGGTCGGTCATTATCATAGGAAAAGCAGAGCATCTGCCTGTGACTCCCGGGGACAGGTTTAACGAGGTGGTGGTGCTTGTCATGGGGGCTTGCTTTGGCAGGGTCTGTCTGTCTCTAACCCCACCTGCTCACCCCCCACCCCCCTTCATGTCTACCTCTTCTCCTCC